GTCCGCCTCGCGTTTGGTGCGTATGCCCTATGGGAACAACTGCTTGGCTTTTCAGTGCACCTGTCACCTTTAATAAACACTGGTCACACATTTTTTCTCCAATATCCACCATAATATCTCTAGGAATCCTATCGTAAGCTTCTTCTAACCTATATAAATCATATGTAGATCCCTCTTTTCTCTATATTTTTTTCTACAATCTTCAAAGTAAATTTATTGCTTCCATAGTTGATCTACTAGTATATAAACCATATTGATTCTCTAACACTGTGTTGTAATCCTTAAATCACCTCTTTCCTATAATTTTGTTATATGACTCATTAACTAAATACCTCTATATTTGTTGCAATTTTGATCATCTCCTTTATTTTGTATATAGGTAATAAAATACTTTTTCTTCATTTGTCTATGAGAGACTTAAAAAAAAAAAAAACCTAAAAGATGAATACAATACTATCAAAGGCACACATCTCTTGAGGCTCCCCCACAACCTGAGAATAGGTTACTTATTCCTCATAAGGCTTATCTTGTGCATCCTTCTTTTTATAGGTGTTGGCCCTTTCCATTCTTCCTATAATTGGATAGGGGTTTAAAAGTATTTTCTTGAAAGCGCTAGACGCTCCCAACTTCACACCCAAGTCTTTCATTTGTTGCAACTTCTCTCCAAGTCTTTTCCTATTTTTCTCCCTTGATGAAGGTTAGCCACACCCAAGGTTCTGAAAAAGCGGTTGCGGTCGCCGTAACGGTGGCGGTGACGCGGTTGCGGGAGTGTAAAGGCCGTACGTAACGGTTGCGGTAACCGGAATCGTGAATTTTTTTATTTTTCGCACAATTTAAAAAAAACCTACCGATACGCATATTTTTTTTTTCTATGATCATATTTATTGGGTTTAAATAAATATTGATCAATTTTTTGTAAATTTTTAAGTATGATTCAATATATTTATATTTTAAATCACATAAACTGAGTTTTTCACATTTTATTGTAATAATAATGACTTTATATTATACAAAATCAATCACTAACTATTATATATAAGATTAACAATGATAAAAGTAAGAGAATAAATAAGAGCCTAAATATATATATATACATATTTTAATCAAGCCAAATAGATAATGACCACATTATTATTATTATTATTATTATTATTATTATTATTATTATTATTATTTTCAAACAATATATAGATAGACACACACAACAAAATAGTTGATGTGAACAGCTGAATAGAATAGTATAGGTCTTACAGTTTACCTAAAGGATTCAGGTTGGGAGAAAACTCTTTTGTTGACTGTGTTTTTCTTTTCTCTTCTTCCTTCTTCCTCATCCCACACCTACATAAAAAAGGAGTGGAACTAGAAGCTTCCACTCCATCTTTCCTCTTATACAAATCAATAGGAGGAAACTTTTCTTTCCCCTTCTCCTTGAGTATGCTTGGTTGACCGATTGGTACACAATTTTTCCTTTCACTTCCTCTTTCCTTTTCAAAACTTTGGGTGAAAGGGGAGCTTTTGAAAAAAGGGTGCAATTTTAAGTGGCATGGCCGAAAATTATGCATTTGTTGTATATTTGGGGATTCCGCAGAGCAACCACTTTGATGACCTTGCATAATTAAGTCTTTTCCTAGAGTGAGCGGAACCATGAAAGGCTAGAGGTGTGCCCAAAATATTCAAGTAAGAGCAACTCCAACGTTGCTCTTCATTTTTCACTAGCTAAAGTACAAAGGAAGTAATCTCCTTATTTTACCTAACTAGTTTTTCATTATGTACTCCAACACTACTCTTTACTTTACCGATTTATCCACAGAAATTGTTTGAAGAGCCACTCAAGGCTCTCCAAACGAAGCTAGCCCGGAAGAGTTTTGTTAAATAGCTATTGTAGTAGCTAGCCCATTGGAGACTAAAATAGGATGAGACTAGCTATAACAGCCAACAGGCCTCTTTTAAACGGGCTCATTGGAGATGCTCTAACTTAGTTGATCACCATGCCATACTTGCAGCGGAACATTTAAAAGATTCATCCCAATTGGCACCCTTGAGAAATGTTGTTTAGTCAATTCAACTTTGGATGACATCTCTTCAAAACTAGGGGAACAAACCCACAATTTTAAGGACCTCCTTGAAGAATCCTCTAAAGGACTTCCTTTCCATTCAATTTTAAGAGATAACATCACATAATGACAATTACCCTCGTATCCTATGTGTTCTAGTTTTGTTTATTTTTAATATGAGAAAGCCTTAAAGCCAAGGTTTTGCGTAGTTACAATATTACGGCTATTCTTCAAGGAGCCACTATAATATTTTATAGATAATGAAATTTGTCTAAAGCAATTGCAAATATAAATATTTATATAAAATATACATATACATATTACAAAAGTCTAAGAAGCACGGACGCTTCTAAGAAGGTGATGTATCCATGTCGTATCCGTGTCGGACACCGACACTCTTTAGGCACTTCCCCGACACGTGTCCGACACTCTTCAAAACGTGTCCTATTTTTTAATATTTTTTAAAGACCCGGACACTTGGAGGACACACGTCTCTATCTCTTAAACACATGTGTCTATTGATTAGACACATGTGAAACTAATTATAAGTTTGAACAAAACAATTTAAGATACAACAATAAAACAAAAACCATATAAATTTATAAGAATTAGTGTCAAGTTGCATTTTTTATTATCTTTGAATGATATATTCATATATA